ACCAAAGCTTGTTTGTGTCCCCTCCTCTCACTCTCTCCTTCCCTCCCTCCTTGTGCATGTTAGGCAAGTGCTGTACTAAGCAATACCCTCAGCCTCATAACACTGTTAGCGTGTATTTGTTGATGTGTATGTTTGTGAGAGAGTGCATTTTTTAAAAAGCAGTTAAACCTACTGAGCTATATATGTCCTTGGCATTTTTTTTGTATTTTATCAAATCTATTGTTTGTTACTTGTATGTGGGACAATAGGTAGAGTTATTCACTTGAGAGAAGAATTAGGGAATAGATAAGAAAAACAAGTTTGTGTTTTTTTTCTGTTCAAACATTTTACATATATGTGGTAGAGGTGGTTTCTTTCTCTTTCATATAACCCAAGTTGGCTCAGAATTTGCTATGTATGACCTTTGAACTCCTGCTTTTCTTTTTCTTTTTTTTTTTTTTCCCAAGGCAGGGTTTCTCTGTGTAACAATCCAGGCTGTCCTGGAAATCACTTTGTAGACCAGGCTGGCCTTGAACTCACTGAGATTTGCCTGACTCTGCCTCCTAACTGCTGGAACTAAAGGTGTGCGCCGCCGCCGCCACCACCAACTGGCTTGCTTTTCTAAGTGCTAGAATTGGAGAAGTATATCACCGTATCCAGTTGTTATTTTATGTTTTTGGTGTTGGGAATTATGTCCAGGTCTTCATGATATGCTAGATGCCTAGTAGAAATTGTAAATTTATGTTGCTTTCCTGGGTATTTAGTGGCCCAATACATTTACATTGCCATATAAACAGCAAGTAACATTCATAAATTATTATTGTGATTTATAAAGTGTTCATAAGTAATTCTACCACATTGTTAGAGTATCATATTTCATAGTGATACAAATGTGTGCATCCTACTAGTGTAATTTTAAGGTTGTTCATAGCAATGATGATATATGTTAAAGGATTCTATGCTATGAAACTAGTGTTGACTTTCTTTTCTGTTTTCTTTTTGAGGGGAAGGATATATACTTTGAACTTCCTATTCCGTCAAGGATGACCTTGGACTTCTGATTGCTCTGTCCCTGCCTTCTGGGATAGAACCCAGAATTTGATGTATACTAGGCAAGCACTGTATCAGTTAACCTGTATCCCTTTACTTTCTTTTCAGTTTCACTAGTTTTGGATTATTCAAACTTGACAATGTAAACCACAAAACTGCATTTAAGATGAATATTGAATTTGCTTCTTTGACCAGAAAGACAACAGTTCTTAATTCTGTATTTTTCCTTGCAACTACATTTTACATTAAATATACTATAGAAGGAAACAGAATAAGTTATATGACAACATGGCGTCCTTAATTCTGGATGGAAACATATCCCCATAATGGAAAGAGTACCATTCACAAACAATATTTATTATTTCAAATACTCAAAACAGCACTCCTGTTCTAGTTATAGTACACTCCCGTAATCTCAAGTTCTTGGGAGGTTGAAGCAGAAAGATAACAAGTTTAAGTCCTGTAATGAGACTGTCAATACAGTAACAGCAAAAATTCTGAGTCTGTAATGTAGGACTTTTTGCTTTTCTGAGACAGGGTTTCTCTATGTAGTTCTGGCTGTCCTGGAACTCACCCTTTAGACCAGGCTGGCTTTGAACTCATAGAGATCTACCTAATTCTGCTTCCCTAGCACTGAGATTATTGGTGAGCATCACCATCCAACCATAATCAGAACACTTGATGCCAGAAGTTTTGCTTGGGGGTTGTTGGTTTGTTTTGTTTTTGTTTTTGTTTTTGTTTTTTTTTTTAACTTTTAAATAGTATAGTATTGATTGAATGAACTGACACTGATTTGCTGAACGTATTTCACAGAAATTCTGGTAATTAAAACTAAAATCAGTTCAGTTCACATTTTGTCACCAATGAGGGGAAAAGCTTGGTTTTTAGCTTTAGGGATTTTAGTATTCTGAATCTATCATGAAAACCTGTAGAATTTTGTTTTTTTATTGTGACTTAACCACAAATGCACATAAAGTATAAAAAAAATTACTTCCAAAATAAAAAATTTTTTTCAAGGTTGTAGGCATGGATCAGACATGTGTTTGTTGTTTTCTTCCTGTTCTTCCTTTGTTCTTAAGACAAGGTCTCACTAACTTGCCCCTCTGGCCATGAACTTGGGAGTTCTTCAAACCTCTCAAGTTTTGACATTATATGCATACACCATTTCATTTGGCTATATTTTTTTGTTTAAAAAAATTTTGGTTTTTGCCACTGCAAACGATTAAGCCTAGGATCTTGCACATGTAGGATGAATGCTATACAAATAAAATGTAATCCCAGACAGATATATGAAATGAAAACATTTGAATTATTAGAGGCTGGAAAGATAACTTAGAGGTTAACAGCTTTTTGCTCTTGTAGAGGACTCAAGTTGGATTCCCAGCACCAACATAGCAACTCACAACCGTTAGTAACCCCAGTTCCCGGGCATCTGATGCCCTCTTCTGGCTTCCCTGGGCACCAGGCTCACACATGGTGTACAGAAATATATTCACCTATACATAGAAAATTAAAATGTAGAAAAAGTGTAGTGAATTATAAGCCTGCTATGTAGACTCAGTGGTTAATAGCACTTGCCACTCAATCCTGATCACCTGAGTTCAACCCCAGAGCCTGTGGTAGGAGAACTTGCTCTTGTAATTTGTCCCCTGACTCCACATATGTGCCATGGTGCCAACACATTACACTTTCAAACATGCACCCCAACACTAGTAATAATACACTCTTAAGATTATTTTAAATTATGTGTATGAGTATTTTGCCTGAATGTATGTACATATACCACTTGTATGTCTGGTGCTTACATAGGTCAGAGAGGGAATTGGATTCCCTGGAGCTTGAGTAAAAATGGTAGTGACTTATCTGGGTGCTGGGAACCAAACCCAGGATCTCTGAAAGAGTCCTTAGCTCACAATAATTTTTGAAGAGAATACCTAGTTACTTTGTTTTGCTTTTTATTTACTAATCAGCCTTCTGATTTTATGATAACCGGGTTGGTTTCCTGAGGATCTTTATGTAATAAAAAGGAAGGTCCAAGCATGCCTTTAGTTCCAGCACTCAGGAGACAGATCTCTGTGAATTCAAGGCCAGCCTGTTCTACAGAGCAGGCTCCAAAGCTTCACAGAGAAAAACCTAAAAAACAAAACAAAAACAAACAAACAAAAAATTCCAAGGACTGGAGAGATTGCTCAGCAGTTAAGAGCACTAGCTGAGTTCAATTCTCAGCACCCATATGGTGACTGACACCCATCTATAATGGGATCTATGCCCTCTTCTGTCATGCAGGCATACATGTTAATAGAACACTCATATGCATAAATAAATAATTTTTTTTAAAAAAAGAGATTCCATGTGCAGATTCTTAGATTAGACAGGCTACTTACCTTTTTTTTTTTTTTTTTTTTTTTTTAAGTTGGCATGTTGGTTTGAAAACATATATTTGGGAAATTGAAATGTTTCAACTATTTGCTATTAGGAAACCTTAATGAAAATAAATTTGTCAGTTATTATTAATGCTTTCTATAATTATTTAATGTTTCATGTTTTAACTAGATTATAGGCCTCATTTTTTTATTATTTATATTTTATATTCCAACCCAAGTTCCCCCTCCCTGCTCTCCTCTCACACCCTCCACCCATCTGCTCTTTGGAGAGGGTAAGGCCTCCCCTAGAAAGTCTACTAATTCAGTCCCATCATCTTGTTGATGCAGAACCAAGGAACCTCTCCACGTCCCACACCCCTGTGTCTAGGCTGGGGAAGGTATCTCTCCATACAGAATGGGCTCCACTAAGTCAGTCTGTGCATTAGGTTTAGATCTTGTACCCACTGCCAGTGGCCTCATACATTGTCCCAGTCACACCATTGTCACCTATATTAAGGGAGTCTAGTTTGGTCTTATACAGGTTCCCTGTCATCAGACCTGAGTTAGTGATCTTTCACTAGCTCTGGTCCACTGATTCTGTGGGTTCCCCCATCATGGTCTTGACTCCTTTGTTCATATTTTTGCTCCTCCATCACTTTGTACTCCAGGAGGTTAGCCCAATGGTTATTTGTGGATTTCTGTCTCTGCTTCCATCTGTTTCTCTGGGAGGGTTCAAGCTTCTCTGGGAATAGGCCTCAGTTTTAGAAAGTGGGTCTGTTGAATACATGTTTTATTTTTAGGGCACAGTATAATACCTGGCATTTAGTAAATGCCCAGGAATATTTTTCACTGAATTAGTGAATGAACTCAGAGTTAGTGTGTGGTAGCAACGGAGATTATTTCTGCCTGAGAATCCTAACCTATAGCCTTGTGTAGCCTTGGTTGTCCTAGAACTTGCCCTACAGACCAGACTATTCTTAAATTCAGAGATCTGCCTTTGCCTCCTGCATGTTAGTACCACTTTTTTTTTTTTTTTTTTAAAGGGCTACAATCTCAAGCCAGTTGTGGTGCACACCTGTAATTCTAACACCTGGGAGCTGGATGCAGTAGGATCAGATTAAGATCACCTTCGACTAACAGTTTAAGGCCAGCCTGGGTTACATGAGATCCTTTCCTTTGTCAGGAAAAAAAAAAAAAAAATACACACATACACACACACACACACACACCCCACCACCACCACCACCACACCAGAGCAGAGAAAGGAAAGAGACAGATCTCCCTGTGGTTTGCTTCAAACTTGTGGTCCTCTTGTCTTGGCCCCTGAAGTGCTGTGATCTAGGAAATGAGTCTCTATGCTCTGGTATAATGGTAATTCTTAAATTTTGAAATCTGCCACAATATTGTAGCTTATTCATATCTACAGAACAATGAAAAAAAACCTGAAGTTTTTAAGTGGATTCACAAGTAAATGATTTGTATATATTATTTGCTATATTTTGATTTACTGATTTTTTTTTTTAATTTTGGCATTTGTCCTGCTGTCCTTAATGCTCCTTTCTTATTTGTTTATTTTCTGATAAAATTTTGTTATGATCTATCCTGCAGGGAAAGAGATGCTGGTCGCAAGTTTTGGAAAACCGTATTTTTTATGGAACAGTGTTCTGTAAAAGTCTTGTAAGATTCCTTGGCAATAACACACTTGTGATGGACTCTAGGAATACTGCTATGTTAGGATTGGGTTCTGATTCCGAAGGATTTTCAAGAAAGAGTCCTTCTACCATCAATACTGGCACTCTGGCCAGCAAGAGAGAAATAGAAATAGAGAGTAACACGAAAGAAGAAGAGGATCCGCGCAAGCGGAATCGAGAAAGGAACAGTGAAGTAGGGAAAGATGATGGTTTGACTGATGCACAGCAACAGTTTTCAGTGAAAGAAACAAATTTCTCAGAGGGAAACTTAAAATTGAAAATTGGCCTTCAGGCTAAGAGAACTAAAAAGCCTCCAAAGAGCTTGGAGAACTATGTGTGTCGACCTGCCATAAAAACAACCATCAAGCACTCAAGGAAAGCACTTAAAAGTGGGAAGATGACAGACGAGAAGAATGCACACTGCCCTTCAAAGTGGGTGAGTAACCCTTGCAATGATACGTGGTCATTGTCAGTGTTTGGTTTTCTCTTTTAGTCTTCATTTACACTAATCTTTAGTTATTTCTAAACAGGCTATACAGATGTTAAAAGTACAACATAATTGTATATTTTTCAATTTTTTTTTATTTGTGTGAATGTGTATAGGGAATGCCACTTCATGCATGTAGAGGTCAGAGTACAACTTTGGTGTCAATTCTTTCCACCTCCACATGATTTCTAAGGAGTGAACTCAGGGCAGGCTTTCAAGACAAATGTCCTTACCAACTGAGCCATCTTACAGGTGCTATGTTTGTACCTGTATTATTATTTGTAAAATTATGACATGTTAAATGGAGCTGATTTGTGCTAAGCAAATTAGATTGTTGCTCCTAATTTAACAGTGGGGGAAAAGTGTCAACTATATTTAGGAAATGTAGATTTGAATTTTTTCTATTTTCAATAATAAAGGGATGAGCATATTAACAAAAATTGAGGCTCAGATAAAAAATTATCGTACCACCTCTCTTTTAACATGGTTGAAAGGATGTGATTCATCAATGTAGTAAGAGCTTTTGTTACATGAATTGTTCTATAAGACATTCATGTTGCTATTTTTCATAGGCACACTGGCAGATCAATAATCCTGGCTTTTCTGGAAACCAGTGCAGGATATCCTGACTGATAGCAACAAACAAACAAAAAACCAAGTTGCCTGCTTCCTGTCACTACTCAAATATAATGACTAATTTTTGTTTTTTTTTTAAAAAAAAATTGATTTTACATGGGCGTGGTGGTGCATGCCTTGGACTCAAGTATTTGGGAGACAGAAGCAGGCAGGTCCCTGATCTGAGCCCAGCTTGGCCTGGGGAATTCCAGGCCAACCAGAGCTTCATAATGAGACATTCTCTCAAAATAAGTAAGTAAGTAAATAAATAAATAATTTGAGGTTCATGGGTGTTTTGCTTGCTTGTCTTGTCTCTTCTCCATGTGCTCATACCTGGCTCCCACAAAGGTATAAGATTCCCTGCAATTGATGTTTTAGACAGTTGTGAGCCTCCATGTGGTTACTGGGAACTGAACTCTGGTTTAGTGGAAGAACAGCCCGTGCTCTTAACCACTGAGCCATCTTTCCAACCCCATGACTAATTTTTCTTAACTTCACTCTGTCTAGTGACAGTAGCAATTTGTGTGACAGCCTTTTATGTTATTTAGTATCAGTCTATGAATATGTGTCCTCTACAGGATGAAGAGTGCATTAGTAATAAGGGGGGAATGAGACAGAATTGGTTTTAAATTTAATAGTAATCTTCATTGCATCAAATAACTTGACTTTTATTCTTTGTTTTTCTCTGTGGTCCTTATTATTTTATGTGAATGGTGATTTTCCTGTATGTGTGTCTGTGCACCATGCATGTGGTACTCACGGAAGCCAGAAGAGGGCATAAGAACCCTCTTGGACTGGGGTTACATACAGTTGTGACCATCAGCTTTGTGGATGCTAAGAATCCAGTTTGGTTCTTCTGTACCAGCAGCTGAGCCATCTCTCTAACTCCCCCTTCCCCTCCTTTTTTTTTTTTTTTAAGAGAGACTTTGCTGTAACTCAGGCTGTCCTGAAACTTGTGCCTTTCCTACCTCAGCCAGCTGGGAGTACAGACATGGCACTATCCCCATTATTTTAAAAATATTATTTAAAAATCTGTGAGTGTATATGTTGTATGTAGAGATCAAAGAAAGTCATCAAGTGTACTACTACACTTCACATCATTCCTTTGAAACAGGGTTGTTAACTGACTCTGGAGCTAAGCTGGCATCTAGCAAGTCCTGCAGTCTTCCTCTCTCCATCCATGATGCTGCTAGTGTTAGATGTGCATGACTATGTCCCAGCTGTGTAGGTAGTTGCCTGGAATTAGAACTCAAATCTTCGTGTTTGCAAACAAAGCACTCTTATCCTCTGAGCCATCTCCCTAGCTCCTAATTCTCTTCTTGTGTTAGAGTCTTCTATCTTCTTTAAGTCTCAAGCTGACCTAGAATTCATTTTTCTCCTCCCCAAGCCTCAAAGATTATGGGATGTGCAATGCACATCTATCTTATTAGCATTAATTTTTTTTTTAAGTTAGTATCCTGCAGTGTGTATTCAAGAACAACTTTGTGAATTGTTTCTCTTTCCACCATGGGTCCTGGAATCGAATTCAGATCATCAGGCTTGCTTGGCAAAACACCTTTATTCATTTAGCTATCTTATTAGCCCTTATTACCCACAGATCTTTGCTCCCAAATTTATGTTTTTTACGTGTTTTCAGAATCTATGCTGAAGGTTCTTTGTTTACAGGGTTGCTATGGCACCCAGAAATGTGATGTGTGTTAAGACAGGGTTTCTGTAGCTTGGGCTAGCCTCTTAATTTGCTATGTAGCCAAGTTTTAACTTGAACTCTTGTTGGGTTAGGTTTAATGGAGTAGGCCAGAATTTTTTTTTTCAGCTGGAAATCTATCTGTGTCTGGCTGATCTGGCACTCACTGTATAGATCTTGCTGGCCCCAAACTCACAGAGATATACCTGCCTCTGCCTCCACAGAGTGTCAGGATTAAAAGCATGGTCATTTAATAAATAAATTATTTATTAGTACTGGGGGACTTTTCCACTAAGTTGTGTTCTCTAGCCTTCTGTTCACAGTTGTGCTGTGGACTGTTGACATCTCCTCAGGAAGAGTTGGTGTTGTAAGCAATTCTGCCTTGATAGCACATGGCCTTAGTTTTAGGGATAGGTTAAAATATGCAGGCTGGAAAAGACTAGAAGAGTACTCTATCTGTACATCATCCGTGCTAGGTACAGACTTTTCAGTGTTGCTGCTTTGGAGTCACCCTTGTCCTGTAAATAAACTTGTTAAATTAATTGGTTTCTTGGGCCATGGGAGGGGGTGGTGGCAACTTTGATTTACATTGAGACCTTAGCAGGAGGGGAGTAGACATTCTTGGCAACAAATATTATTCCCGCATTATTCCTACATGTATTCTCATTGTTCAAAACTGTCCGTTTTAGATTCCCCATTTAGGAAGTTGGCTTGATAATACCATGGTAATGTAATGATGTTATCTGATTAGTAGAAAGTTTCTGAAGCAAAGTGAATAGTTTTCTATTTAATGTCTTTAGGGTTACCTTTGCTAGGATGGTTATAATACGTTAAGATCATGCTGTGTTTAAGGATAGAGAGATGGTTCCGCCCTTCTAGAGGATCTGTCTTCCATTCCTTTATCCATATGACAACTCAAAACCATCTGTAACTCTAGGTCCAGAGTATCAGAAACCTTCTGGCTTCCACAGGTACCTGCATGAATATGGTACACCCACATATTTATATAAGCAAAGCACCCATACACATAAAATAACAAAAGTAAAAAAGATGTTGTTTAGAACCAAAATTGATGCAAAGAACTTCCAGAAAAGCAAATGATGCATTGTTTTTATCCAGAAACATGTAATACAAGCACATGCGCATTTCTTACATACATATTCTTCTCTATTTAAAAAATATAAATATCATAGTGTTAACATTGTTCTATATATTGTTTTTCTCTATGTCACCCCCCAGCTGCCTGTATCTCACTAGGTAGACCAGCATGCCTCTGCTTACCAAGTACTTTTTAAACTAATCTAATTCTGGAGATTTTTCCTAAATAACAGGACTGATGTAGCTCCTTAAAATGTGGATTTAAATTTTTTCAGTGTGTATTTTTAAAAATATATATTAATTGTGTGTATGCATGTCTAAATGCATATGGATGCCACAGTACGCTTGTGGATGTCAGAGTGTAAGTTGTGGATGTGGGTTCTGGGGATCAGGTTTTCAGGCTTGCTGGCAAGCACCCTTAACCTAAGAGCCATCTTACCAACTTTCAGATGGTAGTTTCCCTTAGATACTACTTTGTCAGTTTGCCATGCATAAGTGTGTGGTTTTCAATTCATAAATCATTTGCAGAGCTTGGATGTAGTTCAGGGGGTAAAGTGCTTGGGTATTATATATGAGGCCTATATGTAATCCCCAGCATTGGGTTAAAATTTTTTATTCATAACTAATCTCACTACTTGACTTACCTCAGAGTTGCTATATATACCAGGCTGGCCTCAAACTCAAGATCCTCCTACCTTAGTCTTCTTGGTGTTAGGATTTGTAGATATTGTAAGCATATGCCACTATGCCAAGCATAAACCTTTACTTGTGATATGTGGATTTTGATACATCATTTGAAAAACTGCCTTTTTTTTAAAGTTTTACTTATACTTTATCGTGTGTGTGTGTGTGTGTGTGTGTGTGTGTGTGTGTGTGTGTGTGTGTGTTAAATATATTATCACTTTGGTAAAACCCAAGATGCCAAAGGGTCTGGCTTTCATCACTCACCCCAAGCTTGGGAAGAAGATTAGAAACGACATGGCCAAGGGTCATAGGCTCTGCCAACCAAAGCGCAAGGTTCAAACCAAGGCAGAGGCCTCAGCTCCATCTAAGGCTCAGGCTGCAGCTCCAGCTCAGGCTCCCAAAGGTACCAAGGCCCCATAGAAAAGGTTTCTGCCACTGTTAAGACAGATGGACTGGTGTGACACATCTACATCCTATCTGCAGATGACTGTGCCCTATGCTGTTTTTACAAATAAACTTGAGGCAAGATCTGTTGTTTAAAAAAAAAAAAACATATATATATCACCTCCATCCCCAACTCTACATTCTACTTCAATACATGTTACATCTACTTTTATTCCTCCTCCTTCTACTTTAAGTGTGTATGTGCCTGAGTGTTGATGTCTATGCAGGCCAGAGGTGTAGAATCTCCCTGGAACTGGAGTTAAAGGTGATTGTGTCCAATCTACCCCATGTGAGTTCTAGAAACTGAATTTGGATCTTCTGCAAGAGGCTGTATGTGTTTTTAACTGGTGAGACATTTTCCTGGGTCCTCCAACCCCTGTTTTAGTAGATTTGTGATTGGTAAAATATGAAGGAAGGCTGTTGG